GGAATGCCAAGCCTGAAGTAAGGCCAAAGCACGAGGGAGGGGCAAAAGAGAATGGATGAGTGGTTGGATACAGGACTGATTGATCCCTTGGAGTTTTGCCACACTGGTAAAACTGAAACACGTGGAGACAAGGAATTGAAGGAATTAGAAATAAAATGGTTGAAGTGACAGACAACAAAATCTAAACTGGATAGGAAAGATATGTATGTAGCCAAGAGGGAGCTGAAAAACAAAGAAAGTGAAAATATTGATAAGGACACAGTGTACAGAAGCAAGGGCATGAGAGGGCTTTGCGTGGAGGAAGGGCTCTTACATGGGCCCACAGATACATGGGTAAAATTCAGGAGGCATAAACTTTAGGATAAAAAGTACGTATTTATCTTCACTAATAAACTCTAATTAAAATTTTGCATTTTTTTCAATGATAAATGTAAGCAATAAATCACAATAGCATTAGCAGTTCCTGTGACAGTCACCAACAGAACTGAACAATATCTTGATATCACATTACTATTACAGTTATCTTGAAATAACATTCATCTTATCACTACTTCAAAATGAAGACAGTTATTAGACTCACTGATAGGTCCTGTTATTTAATGCATTAACTAAAAGGCATAAATTACTATATCGCAAATTTAATACTTTCATTAATTATATCGCAATAATTGATTTCCTCTCTAATCTTAAGTACTTTACTTTATGCATTTAAGAACATTATTCTGAGGAAAAAGTCCATGGGCTCATTAGACTGCCGGAGATCTTTGGCACAAAAACGTTTAAGGATTCTGGCTTAGCAAATAGAATCCCAGATTTTTAAGCTTTGGAAGTGGAGAATTCAGGGAGTAATAAGGCCCAGGAAATATCTGTAGGATGAGACTGAAGGGTATATATACAAGTAGAAGAGGAAGTCAAGAACTGTGCCACCAAGGTGTAGGAAAAATATTCATCCATATGGACACTGGATTACTCATTACACTCAATCTCAGGATATAGGGTAGAAAAGGAAAGACTGTAGTTTTCAAAATCGGATAACTGCTAAGTATGACGAAAAGACTGACTGTGATGTGGCCGAGGGGAGAAGAGACACCACAAACCTCACACAAGGAGGGGTTTTTATACTCTGAAGCTAAGAACGAAGTCACTGGTCCTGTTCTTTGTTCCTTTTACCTCTTCCAGCTCTCAAAAATATGCCTCTGCCTCCTTCTGCTCTGCTCCTCAAAAATATACTCCTTTCCAAAGCCTCTGTTTCAAAGTAAACAGGGCCTGACATTTTGACAAATCTGTAATTTTTACCTTCCTAACCAAAGATATAAATAACTATAATCAAATAAACAGACTTTCCTTGTCATACCTATCCATAACCAACTACAAAGAATTAGGAATTCTGATGGCAGGGAGGTGAAAAGAAATTAATTGGGATACAGAGTATTTCTAGGGCAGTGTGATCCTTATGAAATCAATTCATTTTTCAACCAGCATTTTTCTAAATGAAATAAAATGGAAAACATTAGAATCCATGCACATAGTAAAAGTTAAATACTGTTCTAAGAATCTTTTGTTCCTGTTACACACAGTCTAAGGTAAATGTACTGCAGTCATGGTTCAAAAAGTTTGAAAACCATTGTTCCAAGGAAAGAACTATTATTCTCTCTGAAGAGAACCCCACATGAAAATAAAAAGCACAAGACGAAAAATAAGGGATGTGACCTACAGCTTTCTCTGGGGTCTACTACACTGTTAATACCCTACAATCAGCTCAGGTTCAAGTCTCAGCTCTGCCACCTACAAGACTTGTATGTGAGAAAGTTGCTGTACTACCAAGCCTCCCTCATTTGTAAAACAGGGCTAAAATACCTCCATCTTAATTATTTCACAGGATAGTTATGAGAATAAAAAAAAAAAAGATATGAAATTGCTCTGTAGACTATAAAGCAGCGTACCGTTATTGTTATTTTATTTTAAACTGTATAGCCAGAGTGATGAAAACAAACTATGCTATATGAGTAATGAAAATATGTCCAAATCATGGTTGCCCTATCGGGTGATTAGACAAGCCAAATATTAGAAGTAGCAGGGAAATACTAGGAAAATTATTTCTTTAGAAAAAGGTAATTGGGATAAGAGCGCAAATAATGAAACTACCCATATGCATATACATGTCTCAAGTAACACGAGATTCAAAGCAAAAAAAAAAAAAAATCACTGGTTTTGATGGGTAAGACTTTCTAAGAGATAAAATGAACTGAGATGAAGAAAGTGAAACATGTTTTCTCGTCATATCTTAAAGTGGTTCCCAAGACCAAAACAGGCATCAAATGTTATACTTCAAGCCCAGTTCGATATCACCTCCTCCAGAAAACCTACTGTGTATACCAACCAGCCCTTAACTCTATGTGTCTCTAGCACCCAGTGTTTATACCTCTCATCTGACATACAACTAATATTACAAGGTGGTGTAAAACATATTACCCAACATTAAATTAGGAAAGGCAGCCTACACGTTTTATTTTTCTGCTTTTAACATAGGACTAAAAAGGCCTGTTAGTTAAAACTACACACCCATCAGCTCTTATCATTTTGAGCCTCTGGCCAATAAGTAACTTATCATCTGCATGGCTAATACAACTACAGGTCACTTTTGGTAGCTACAAATTATGTAAGGATCCAAACTTATATCATTGAAAAGAGTTGGAACACCTTAAATAATATAATTAATATCAGAGGTATAGCCTATAGCCTTTTACTATTACTGCAAAATTATTACTTATAAATGAATTAAAAATTTCTCTTCCTAGTCTGTCCTAGATTATAATTTCCTGAAGGTGAGAATAGTACCATTACATTAACTTCCAACATATACTTTGTTACTCAATAAATACAACATATTAAAAAAAAAAATGAAAAACTGGGGCTGGGGTGGGAGGAGGAAAAGGACCTCTACCTCCACCCAACCCACATATTGCCTACCTCTTGCAGCGTCAACAAAGTATTAAGAATAGCTGGTAGTGTTGTCTGGACAACTCCAAATCTATCTTCTGTAAATGATGCTGCTACTAAGTGAGACAGACCTCAAGGGGAAAAGAAGAAAAAAGTTAAAAGTGAATCAAATTAGGCAAATCTACTTGCAATACATCTATATGAGAAAGGATTAATATTCTGAATAATAAAGAACTTCTAAATAAAAGAGGGTAACAATAGAAAAAGGGCATAAGACTCGAAGAGGCACTGGAAAGGTGCTCGACTGCAGGAGTCAAGAATAAGATGACAGTCTGCTTTATATTCTAGTAGCAAAAAAATTTTTTAAATAATATTGTATTTGGTAGTGGTAAGTGCTAGGAAGGAAAACAAAGCATGGTAAGGGAATACAGTGAAGGTTATGAGGATACTTTTCATTAGGTGTCAGGAAAGGCCTCTCTGAAGAAGTTATCATTTAAGTTTTGAGAAGGCAGAATATATAAGAAATATATAAGTTTTTTAACAACTAAGTTTTCTTATTTAACCTGTTAAATATGTTAAAATATATTAAATGTGTTAAATAAGTTATGTCGACATAAGTCAACAGTTACAAACTATAAGTACAATTTTTTTGAAGTAGAGAAAGATATGCAAGAATCCCAGGCTCAGTTTCTCTACTTGTATACAAGGAAAATTTCTGCCCAAATTAAAGTACACCTAAATACCTACGAAAAATGACCTATATAAAACAAAGATATAATAATGTATCTGAAAAGTCCAAATAGAGATTAACGTAGGGAGAAGGCAAAAGATCTAAATGTTAAATCAAGCTATATCCAGAGTCTGCACTGTGTTGCTGCCAGACCTAGGGAAACCTGCAGAATCCAGGATGCCTGCTGGGGTTACCAACAAACCATCTATCCATACCCTGAAAGGAAAAGGGGAAAACAGAGTCTTTAAGTCGCATCCTGCACAAAGTAACTCCCTAGGGCTGAAACCATGAGGACTCTATGGAAGAACAGCTGGGAATTGCTGGGAATTGCCAGCAGGCTTTCTCGCCACATGCCCATTTCTTTCACACTAGATACTCTTATCTTTCATACGGCAGATCCATTGCATTAAAGAAAAATAGGTAAAGTCTTTAAACTGTAATTCGCAGAAACTAAGAATGATATATAAACTGAATTCCCTGAACACCCAGGGCTTTTTTCCTTTGATTTTTCTATCTTGGTCTTTTTCTATGTCCTTCTCATTGTCTTTTCTCTCAGTCTCTGTCCCTCTCAGCTCTCTCTCTGTCTCTGGGAGGAGACCACGCTCTGTTTATGGAGCATTACCCCTTCTCTAATAAACTCTCTTTCTGATTCTAACTCTGGCTTGTGCTTGAATTCTTTCCTATGCTCACTCAGGAACTCCCTCTCCCCACCCCCAATGTCTCAGTGCAGGGCTTGAGCTCCCTGCTCCATTCAGGGGAATTTGCTCTGTCCTGCATCAGGGTCAAAGTACAGAACAGACCTTTCTTGGATTATTCTTCAGTATTTAATTGATAATTAAAAACATAGTTGCAGTTCACTGAAATTACTTACCTTCTAATGCCCAAATATGCATTTGGGCATCTGAAAACACAGCCTGAATAGAGGCCTCTGGGTGCTACAAATACAACAGAAATATTTAAGGAAGTTCCCCTGGGCAAAAACTCTTATTATTTCATCTAATCAGCTATGTAGACTGTAACAATAAAAAATTCACAGCTGCCTCAAGAATTAAAACCCAAAATTCTTATACAATATGATCTAATTGCAATAAAGCATTCTGCCACCAATTTACGTGACCCTTGTCAAGTCTATAAATCTCTATGTGCCTCAGTTCCTCATTTTAAATAAGTTACACACATTCAACCTACCTTAGAGGATTAGTATAGAGATCACTTAAGAGAATGGTTATGAAAGCTTTTTTTAAACAAACAAACAAAAAACTGCCTAAAAACATATTATCGCTCTTAAATTGTTTGCCCTCAACCTCATGTCAAAGAAAAACTACCCAACTTTCTTTAATGCAACATGGCTGAATAGTGTGAAGCAACAACGGACCCATTTAAATTAATGCTGGCTTTGGTAATGCACCTAATGAAACTTATTAATAAGCACAACAGCATATTACACTTCTCAACATCAAATAGCAGTGTCTACAACTCCTTGTTATACAACAGATCCACTTGCAAAATTAGAATCGAAAGTAGCTGTTTACTTCCAAGGAAAAAGCTCTTATTCGGCATCTGCTCTGCCACTTACTGGCTATTTACCCTTAGGCTAGCTACTTGAACCCTCTGAGCCTCAGGTTTCCTTACCTGTAAAATGAGGACAAAAAAACCCCCACAGAAATGCTGTTAGAATTAAATGAGGGACGCTTAGGTGAAAAGAGCATAGGATACACAAGGGTGAGTTCTCTCCATTCTTCTGAAACAAATCACTGAAGTAAAACTTCAGACAATCCCTCTTTCTCTTGGTGGAAGATACCTTCCTCAAGTGTCTCAGTTTCCCCAAAGCTCTATTGGACAGCCTAAGGTAGATTATTTTTGGTAAAGGTAATTGCTACAGCTGGGTGGATCTTCTCTGCCACCGTAGTGGAAAAAAAGTTTCAAGAATTTGAAATGATCCTTTGTTATGTGCATCTATATTCTCTCGGAGTTACTCAGATCTCTCCCCCATCACAGTATGACTCCCGAAGAATAAAAATGAATAATGTATGCCAATGCAAACTTTCACTTGAAGGCACAACCGAGTGCAATATTAGCTAATACTGCAATATCTGCAGAAAGAGAGAATCTAGATTTAAAAAACTAAAAACTAAAATTCTTTCTCCTACATACGGGCAAAGGGTTTTACTCATCAAAGGATTAGTTAACACACAACAGCTGAAGCCAGTGAAAACAGAAATGAATCTTTAGCTTCTGCAATTGAGATTTACTCTTCTGTGGCAGCTGCAACAGCTGAGAGACAAGCTGGAAAGTTATTTAGTTTGTGGCCTGAATTACAGTTTTTATCCAACACAAGTTTAACATCTGCAATCTAAACCAGTCATCTCTTATCTGAACACCAAATTGGCCACAAAGATGTTAGCCCGACAATGAGCCATGAAGAATCGCCACGTATTTGCTCATTTTGCAGGAAGAGGTTGCTTATCAGCACAAAGCTGCCTGCAGCCAAGAGACTCAGGAGGCCAACTAGAGTTAAGCTTCAGGAAGTCACTGAGGAGAGATGTGAGGTAAGTATAGGACAGCTATTGTTAAAATGCAGGTTTAGTGAAGCACTATGCAAAGCCGTTTAGCTTGCTAGGATCAAGCTAAATATTTAGAAGTCAAATCCTGCTACTTTAGTTCTACATTTCCTCTCCCCCCATTTCCAATGCTATTATGACATATTCTTACCTTACTGAAAAAATACATTATCAGCACTCGTTTTGACAAGAAATTCTTAATCTGAGTTGGAAAAAAAAAGAATTAACACATCGACAGTTTTCAATTCTATTCAAATATAATACTTCACATTTCTAGGTTCTTCCTGACACTAACTTAAATAAAACATTCCACATCTTACAGAGAAAGAACAACATTTACAATAAACCACACAAGTAAATACCTTTGTACTGGAAACTGGATTACCAAGATGGACTATCTAACCTAACTTGTATTATTACCATGTACACATATCTAACTCCCAAATTAGAGATATGTCATAATACAAAAAAGTCTACATAGTTCTGGTGATATTTTCTAAGACCATAGTCTTTCTCAAGTCTCCACAGCTGTCTTGCCCTTTAACCACTTAATACCTAAAAAGAGCATGTTTCCCCTACCAAAAAAAAAAAATCTTAAGCTGTGAAATGGTTTTCTAATGAGCTGACATTTATAGAGAAAGCAATTATAAGCTGAAAGCTACATATCCCAACCAACTTGAAAGTAAATTCATGACACAGCAGTACTTATAGAGCCACATGGGATCCTGAAGTTTGTAAAATGCCTTCAGTTCTCCCCTCTATTAAGTGATCATTCTATCAGTAAACAAGTTATTTCTTTCATCTTAAAAATTAAAACTATTCCTGACCTCTCAATTCCCCCAAGCTATTAACCCATTTTCCTGCTCCTCCAATAGCAAAACTGTAAAGATCTGACTTTTCTTGCAGTCTCCAATTCCTCTCTCAATCTCTCCTGACCCCATGCCAGTCAGGAATTCATTCCCACTACTCTATCTATCCAAAAGCTCTTGACAAGGGGTCCATGTCCTTCACATTTCTAGTGTAACAGTTCGTTCTCAGTTTGAATCTCATGCTACTTAGCAGGAGCATCTGACATTCACATCTCCTTGAAATACTTTTTTTTCTTGACTCTCTTCTCACCTCGATGGTCTCCTCTGCTATTCCTCCTCAGCTCCCAGATCTCTAGTCATTGGAAGGCCCCATTTCTTGCATCTCTTTTCTTATGTATCTACACTCCCCAAGAGTTTTCATGGAGTCTCATAATTTTAAATACTGTCTACACTCTGATGACTTCCAAATTTACATTTCTAACCCAGAATTTTTCCCTATACTCCAGATATACGTCTAATTTCTTATTCAGTATTTTCAAGTTGTCTAATAAGTATCTCAAAATTGACATTTTTAAAATCAAATTCTAGATTTCCCTACCTCTTCTCTATCAAATCCCTTCTTCCAGAATCATCAGCAAATTGCAGCTCAATAAACTGCAACTAATGTAGGGAGGAGGCAAAAGAATTAAAAATGTTAAATCAAGCTACTTTCAGAGACTGCAATAGGTTGATCAGCCCTGCAGCCAGGCCAGGAGGACACTTGCAGAACAAAGGAAGATTTCTACTGGGATTGCTAACACATGTGAAGGGCAAACAGGAACAACAGAGACATTAAGTGGCACCCGACACAAAATAAAATCATTCTCTGTGGCTAAAACCATGGAGAACCTATGGATTAAAGGCTGGGAACTACCAACAGGCCTTTTGCTCTACATATTCTTACCTTTTCACCCTATATACTCTTCCCCTTCCTCACTGTACGTCCGTATCAAAGGAAATGGGTTAACAAAGTCTTTTAAACTATAACTCACAGGAAATAATGATATATAAACTGAATTCCCCAAGCACTCAGGGTCTCTCTCTCAACTCTCTCTTGGTACTCTGTCTCTCACTGTCCTCATCTCTCTTAGTCCCTCTCACTCTCTGCTTCTGAGAGGAGACTACACTCTGTCTATGGAGTGTTATCTCTATTCTAATAAACTTTCCTTTTGACTCTAACTTTGGCTTGTGTGTTGAATTCTTTCTACACTCTCCACCAAGGACTGTCTTCTTCTCTCAGTAGAAGGCCTGGTCTCCTCCACACTCGGGGAAATTTGCCCTGTCCTTGATCACAACTGTATTATTTTGGATCCTTAGGCCAAAAACTTTAGTCAACAATGACTCTCTACTTCACATGACAACCAAACCATAAGCAAATCCTATTACAACTATCTTCAAAACATATCCAGACCGTGATTGCATCTTATGGTTTCCACAACCACTCTGGTCATTTAGATAGCACCATCTCACACTAGATTACTTCAACAGCTTTACTACTGTCTCTGTTTCTATTCCTGCTCTCTGAGAAAAGAGCAGATAGAGAAAGCAGCACTTTCAAAATATAAGGTTATATCATCCATTCTTATGGGCAAAACCACACAGTGACTTTCCATTTCGCTCAGAGGAAATGTCAGTCTTTACAACACTAATGGGCCCAAAGAGCTCTGGGTGCCTGTTACCCCTCTGACCTCATCACCCACCTACCACTTTCCCCTCACTTTGCTATAGCCACACTAGTGTCCTCACATGCTCCTCACACAAACCACACATAGCTCAAAATCAGTCAAATACTGACAATTTCATATGGGTCAACTGAATACATGAAGCATCAGAAAAAGACCTATTTATTCCTGATGGCTTACTCGTGTGAAATCCTTGATGCTCTCAATATTACATGCAAATATAGATCCTAAAACCATACCATCCTACCTGTTCACGTTTATTCTGAATCCATGAATAAATCACACTGGGCTGTCTCACTGCCTTACCCTCAGCACTAATAGTGGTAGATAGAGGATTAGAAAATTCAGTTATTTGCTGATCTATAAAAAAAAAAACAAACAACAACAACAAAAAAAACAAGGTGAAAACAGGCAAGCGGATTCTCTGCAACTATGACTTTCAAATTTTAGAAAATAAACAGTCCTCACCAGAAGCCGAAGTCCATAATCTTGGCCCTCTTCTTATTAGCTGAGGACTTTGAGGTGACCCATAGCAGGTGTTTATATCAAAAATTCCAGCCATCCGATTCATTACACTAGAGCCAAATGGGGTTCCAAGGGGACTTGCAACATCAGGTGTACATAATTTTGAGGAAAACAGTGATGTCTTAACTAAAGGTGGCACTGAAGGCTGAGGCATCTGGCTAGATTTGGGTGTATGAAAAGTAGTTTCTTCTGCAAAAGAACAGATTCAGAGCTGAAAGGACAATCTGATCCAAACAGGCCAGCATGGGGTGTTCTCAAATTTTATACATCTCAATTTTTTGTTTAATGCATTTACCCAAGGCTCAGTAGGTTGTTTCCATTTAGGTTTATATTTCAAGAGCCAGCTTTTACTGCTGCAACTCAGTGACCATTCACAGAGCTTTAAACATCTTTCCCCTCCACAAATTTCCTCATCTTCAAGGTCAGTTTCTCCAACTCTAAGTTGTTCTGAATAAACTCATCAATTTATATTTTATTTTTATATGGCAACAACTTTAATTATTGCATTAGAATCTTTCTAGTGTTATCACATGCTCCTACTGTAACTATTACTTGGCTAAACATAACCAAGTTCGTACTGTGAAAATGGACAAACAGAGAGTGCTAACCTTATCCCATTTTCCCCAGGGTTCTTTCAAGTTATCAGAAATCATACCAAAGACTAATTTGCCCAGAATATCTACACAACTGACCCTACAAATCTGATCTGTAAATAGCTTCTTCACAAATTATAACTATCAATTTACTTAGAGCCTATTGTTCAAAAACAAAGGAACATTTTTCCTGCCACTCCAGTACAAGGCACAAAGACAAATAAATCACACTAATATTCTATATTCTTAATAAAACCACCATAAGACATTATACATTTAAAGTACCATATCTTCATTATATGACATTTTAAGAGTTAGTGGCAATTACAAATCTTTGAATAATCAATTTAAAAATTAAGACTGAGGTTTTTTTAAGTTTTGCAGTAAGTCCTCAAAATTAAAGGCAAATTTTGTCTGTGTGATAGGATATGACAATTTAAAATAATGAAAAACTCATTTGGTCAGACCCATGATCCATCCTTCCAACCTAAGATTACAATGAACTTTGTAATGTGCTAATTTGATAAAATTAACCTATTCAAAATTCTCTAATGGTTCTATATCCCTATGGGATAAAATCTAAACTCCTTTTTAGATCATAAAAGTCCTTCTTTTATTATCAAACATCATCTTATCCATTCAGGCTCCTTTTTGACAGATTTACTTTTAGCAGCTACACTGTCATCATTTAGAACCTTTTAGAACTAAAAGGTTAGTTCTAAGAACATTTTCCTAATCTTTGATTCCCTTGATTCCAGCACATTGCTTGGTATGTAAGAGGCATTCAGTAACTGTTTGTTCAATAAATAAATGCTAATCTGAAAGTTGATAACATCTGAAACGCTCTAGAATCTTTTAAAACCTGACATTCGTGGACTTATTTTGATCATTTTCAATTATAATATTTGTTTTTAGTATGTGGTCACTCCAGAATAATGAAGGCAAAAACACAGAAGTGTTTGCTTTGGCCCATATAGGGATTTTTTAAATACCAAGATTAGTTGCTGACATTGAAAAAATGGAAGATTTCACATAAAAGTTTTTTTAGATTTCAGGCGTCTCTCTTTAAAAAAAAAAAAAAAGTAAGAAAGAAAGAAAAAAAAAAAGACCACAAGTTCAGATACTGGGTCCAAATTCCCTCATGGGAACAGACTAAAGCTAACCCATAGCTTCCCCCTTTAGATGAAACCTGTGCTCTCTGGCTTGCTACCATCCTCACCTAGCCAGTTTTGCCCATTTTCATGAAAGGCCTGGCTCCTAAAGGCATCTAAACATTAAGTACTTTATCAGTCTTTCATTCATAAGCATTTTCTACTTAAGTGATTTGGTGAAATAGCGTAAGTTCCTCCACTGTACTTCTTGCTGTCGATTTTCATCTTTCAAACTGAAGGAGTACTAACATTATATTAGGCAATCTTCTAACAATGAATGTGATGCTCCCACCCCCAAATCACTCAGTTATTTTAGTTGCTCTTCTCTGGACATTGTCTAGCAACTTTTCATCTCTGAGACATAGCAATAAGAACAGCATCCAATATTACCTGTAAAGATTCACCAGGCTTTGTATTTAGAGTAAGCTAAAGTCTTCTATTTGGTGACCGACATTTTGTTAGCCTTTTTACCACCACCACCACCCTGGAGTTAATATTTTTCAATCTACAATGATACCCAGGTCTTTTTCTTGGTTCAATACGATAGCCCATATATTGGATTTTCCCCAAAATTATATACCTCACATTCATATACATTTCTTTACATTAACTACTGTCATCTTACTCAAGAAGTAAAATGCAATTGCTTTCCCCACTCTTAGTAGTACAAGGAGTTACCTGGAGAATTCAATTTCTTAGGTTCCATTGAGTATGATGAAGACATTACCCTCCCATTCGTAGCAGCAGCTTCTTGGTAGAGAACCAGTTTCTGAGTCATATCATTTAAAAGATTCAAACACTCCTTTGAAATGGCTGTCCAATTGTGGGGATGTCCGCCTAAGGAGGTACAAACACCAGGTTTTAAATGTAGATCATCATACAGTCTCCTCTCAAAATGGGGAGAAAAATCAAAAGAAATGCTGCATTACACTTTGCATCAGGGCCCACTTTTCTCGGTTCAGGATGGGGATTTATACTCAAGCCATCTAATACACAGCAGAAGTTCAATAAATATTTGGATGAAATAATTTTCCCAAAAGTCTACAAGCAAAAAGTTGCTATTTTACCATAAAAAGCCTCCCTAACTAATCCCTAAAATAAAGCCAAACACTTGAGCATAGCTTGAATAAAAAGCCCAAGGTTACTTTATTACCTAAGTATTAAACAGACTGAAGACTAAGACAATGAACACTAGCATGTCTAATGAGATGCACTCCATGGTCCCCAATGACCTCTAAACTGTTGTGTCTGATCCACTGTGCTCTTACATTTTAATTTGTATAATAGTCCCTATTTGCTATTACATCTGTAGGAGTCACACATTATTTGGTAATGATCATACTTTATACCTGGAGACTTTACATATCTGATTTTTTAAACTGCTGTGATCCACACTCTTATTCCCTCACTTCTCATTATCTTTGGATTTTCTAAGACTTTTATCTCCTAGAGCTGTTATGTAAAAATCAACCATGTTTCACTATGTGTTGAAAATAGCAGAGGAATCCACTGAAACTGGTTTCCCCATCCTGGGTGCCAAATAATCATTCTCTCTTTACTTAGATCCCTCATTAAACATTTCCTCCATTTACAACTCAAGAGGAATACCACTTAAATTGCAAATAAACAGAACACTTCATCAGTAGGCCCCAAGATGTTCTGTACTGCTATGACTCTGTACCACTAGGGAATTAAAGAATGGTCCCGTTAATTTTAATATGCCCCTGAATGCAAGTTCATTGGCTGGGAACATACCACCCTTTTATAGTTTACTTGACTATCTGGTGAAAATATTTAATGTATAGAAAATTCCTAAGTGAACCTAAGTCTGATAGAAAAGTATTGCTACAGTTATTCTCTAGAGCATTAGCTCTGGATTTTCCATGCTACTAAAAAGGGAGTGGCTCCAATTATTTATATTATTATATAACTGGATTTCATTTCCATGCAACATTTAACTACAGAAGGTTTATTTTATAATCTGGGAATTGGCAAGTTTAGCAAATAATGAAGAGCTGAGTAGAGAGTAGATGAAAAGCTATTCCAGTTCTCTGTTCCCCACTGGTGCCTAGGGCTGGGATGCTTTCCCTCTAGGAATACAGCAGAGCACTGGCACAATTATAGTCTTGAAGAGTTTGGCAAGTAACAGTGAAGAAATGTTTCAGAGTTGTCAAGAGTATCCTTGGGTCACCATCAAATCTAGTTTCTATCTACTATTTTTTTAAGGGAGGCAGGGTAGCATGGCAGGAGGACAGAGGTCTGCACTTGGAGTTAAATGACAGAATTTATTCGAACTCTGATATTTTTATTTAAGCCACTTAATCTCTCTGAGACTTAGGTCCCCATCTAGAGATTATAATACCTAATTTTTAAGACCCCTTGTAACATTAAAACTTTTAGGATTCTTAAACTGTGCTTTCCTGCTCTAAAATTGTCAATCTACCTTATAATTTATTCAGGTTAAAGGAACCAAAGGGCTAAAGGAAATAATATAAAAAATTTAAAATACTCTTCCAGATGACATAACATCTAACCACAACAATATAAACACTTAGTTTTATAAGATTTAAATCAAAACTTCATTTAATGGACTCACTCATATGCAATATTTTATTAATTATACCTATCTCACATAAACTTAGGTAGAACACATTATGCACACACATGTCTAATTAGGTCTATTACTTTAGCAATACCTGGTTGGCTAAGGCTAAAAACTTCCTGTCTTCGTGAGGGAGAATATTGAGAAAGTAACATCAGGTCCTGCAAGGCCAAATACTGAAAGAAAAAAAATTTTATTTAATTTTTTTAAATCTTTATATAAAACCCTATTTATTAACTGGGCTCAGCATTATATATCTAAGGGGAAATTAGTTGAAACTTTCCAAAAAGAAAATAACTTTTAACCTTCCTTTTTAGACTTCCAGAACTTTCCTGCCTGTACCCAGTAAAGGCTAACCCGCTAACAGGCTCCAGCTACGAGAAACTACAGAACTCTCCGATTTCTTTCCCTCCTCTGTAGTGGGAAACTTAAACATCACTTCCTCCTGGTACTTTCCTGGCCTCTCCTGCACTAACATATACTCACACAGTTCTCAAATGTGACCCTTAACATAATTTATTATAATTGCCTGTTTACTTGTCTCATCTGGTTCCACCCACCAATCTATAAGGCAGGAACAAAGTCTTGCTACCACATTCAAATGCAATGCCTAGCCATATAGTAGACACATAGTGTCTACTATACTTTTTTACTGAAAAATCTTCATTTTGTTTCCTGGAAAACCTCTTTACTCATCATCCAAGACATCAACCTCTCTGTGAACCTTTCTTATATTGGTCTCAAGTAGAAGAAGTAGTCCCCACTGTACTTAACATAATAAATTTGCATTATTTTGTATATATGCCTGTGCTACATCTTATTCATCATTATACCCTAAGTATAATGACCAGTAAATAAAGATCTGTGAAATAACCAAGTGAATTACTGATGTTTTGTTTATCTATTAAATTAGTCATAATCGACATTTAAAAAGGTAATCAGAGCCTCAATGATTCATATTCTTATTAGTTTATAACTTTTCCAGAGTATAATTGAAACTATGGGTTCTAACTATTTTGGTTCTTTAAGTATTATGATGACCTCTTAATAAGATCACATATATTGTAGATCTACTCCAAAATTTCAAAATACAATTTAAGTCAAAACAATTTATTCTCACTTAGTTTGATTTTTAAATATATTGCAACTTCTTTAAATTCTTTTTATTAAAATCTGTTTTAGGATCATTATCGTTATTCACATTTTAAGAGAGTTCACTGAATGTCTCTACACACTACCAAACATTACCTCTGATCAGAATAGCCAACAATACTACATGAGTACAGATACGTCTTGATCCAGTGATAAAAATATAAAAACCAACATTGCTTGTTTAGCTACCATGAGGAGTTTATGAAAAGCTAATGCATATAGCTGGATATCAGCATATTTCATGCTTGGAAATATTTTTATATCTCTTCTAAATATAGAATTAGCTTGGCTTGTATATATACATTGCAATAAATACTTGTATTTTAGTCACTTGGAAAAAAACTGAAAAAGTAAATAGCATTCAATGTAGCATGGTAGGTAATTTTTATAATACCAGTATTATTCTAAGTCCTTGAAAATTTTATCTAAATACCTAAATATGCTAGATATTAAGTTTCTCCATAAGATAAGTCAGAGAAGACTATGTAAAGATATAAAATAAACAGTTCTGGTACCTTTATGATGAGGGGAGGATTGCTATTTAAAACTTTTGGGAGGCATTCATCTGACTCTTCTGCAAATGGTGGCTGAACAGGGAACAGATGAGCCTATCAAATATAATTAAATACAAAGACTATAAAAACGATTATTTTCATGACTTGATTACATTCAGTAAGTGCTAACTGAATTTATTATAAAGGGAGACAATACTACCAAACTAACATCTTTAGTGTTCATTGCAAAAATAGGTTATTTTAAAGTTATACATATTCAAACATACTACTTTCTAAAATGTTACTCTCCCTATTTTATTACATCTCTGGATCCAATAGAAACATTTTATTTTATTTAATTAATTACTTTTTTGAAATAAATTTTAGAAACAAAGATCCTTTGAAGGATACAAACCTGCAGAGATGGTAAAATGAAACAGAAACACTCACTGCCCAAGATAAACACTTGGATGATAAAGACAGTGTAATCAATCCCTATTCATTTAAAAATATTTCTTCAATATAAATTTTTAAAATTTCATTCAAATAATATTGTATTGCCTTATTATTTTAAATTTAAAGCAAATAAAAATAATTTTTAAATTCAAGCCCACCTACTATGTAGTCAATAGAGAAATGGAAAACTTTAGAGAATTAGCCTATAGATAAAGCATAGTTAGTACCACTAGCAGTCCATTCAGTTTAGTTGCCAACAATTAAGAATACCAACACTGTTCCTAATAAAAAAAAAAAGCAAATGATGGTTACAAATGATACATCTCTAATGAAGTCTCAGAAGAGACCAAAACTCATTTTACCAAACTAGTTTTGTGTATAATATCATGTTGATCAGTGCTCTACTAAAAGTAAACCTGTACACTCCAAAGCACAAAAGTATTAACAAAAAACTCAACACTCACCTCTGTGGCATAGATTTTAAAGAGTATCCATGAGATGTACCAAGTCATCAGGAGAAAGACACCACATAACCAGACATGATAGAGTAATGAGAGATTCAAGAGGCCACTCACAGTGTCAAGAGGCCTATGAAATTGCCTGTGAAAGCAGAAATTACTATTTAATCCTAAGGGAAAAATACATTCTAAGCATTTAACAGAGTTGAGACTCAACACTGAGAAAAAAAATAAACCCTATTTGTAAATAATAATGGTGACAGACTCCTCTCATTTTGTACCCTAGAATACTTTCAGTAATACTTTCTAATGAAGTACATAAGGGAGCCCACAGGGAACAGTAGACCTAAACTGGACTTGGTTTCTCATGTTCCAAGAATGAGCCACACCTACAAGTATACCCCTACAGGCTAGGTAAAATTTTATTATTGTTGCTTTATAGTTTGATATTTAAAACTCATTCAACATGACTAGCACCTCTCTTGAACCAGATTTCACCTGTATCTGTATATCCTATAAACAGTTTCACAGTAGTTAAAAGCACATAGTTCTACCTAAAAATAACAATCTTTACTTTTAAAATAACTTAAGAAACTGTTAGAATGATAAATAAAACAAATGCTAGCTTACCAAAAACCTTGATTAAGTCAATTAGCAAAGCCATCATAACTACAATCACACAAGGAGCAATGGTAAAAACAGAATTTGAACCTCTGACTCTGCCAGTGATGTGTCATGATTACATAAATCTCTTGGCCTATCTCATTCTCAGTTTCCTCATCCATATAATAGAGGCATAATCTCTATTCTACCTCTTAGGGCTATTATGAGATTTAAAACACTTTATGTTAGGGGTGCCCAGCATAGTACTTGACATTTATTTGTGGAGTAGGGGTGCAATAAATAAAGTTATTTTCAGCTTTTAAGTAAACATTTACTGATGTTCTGGCATACATTAAGGACAGAAAATCAGGCACTTTGCCATACAAACAAAACATTTTTTTTGGTGAAAAAAAAAAAAAAAAAAAGGCATATTAAATGTCTATCAAATATCATTAGTATTTTTCTCTTTCCATTTGATCCAGTTTAAAATCTGGGCTAACATAATAAATGACCCATGCATTTGGTTTCATATCTAGTAATTAAGCAGAAGATAAAACTAAGATTTACCTAGGAACTTTTAAAAGTTAGAAATACACACTGTAGAAACTAACATCTCAGAGACACCTATATATGCCAATATTCCCACTCCCCAAAACTGGTATTAGTGAAGTCCACGTATGATACAAAAAGTCTCACAGTGGAATAACTAATAATTAAAAGAACAAACACTAACAGAGAAATTTAGATTTATCTGCCAAATAAAGATTAAGGCTTTATCTATGTGCAAAGTACATGGGGAATAACTAGAATACACCCCAGTGCTGCCATCTGATTGACACTGATGATCTTCTATTGGTCACACGACCCTGCTTAATTTTGGTTTCCTCATAGGCAAAAATAAGAATAATGCTATAGCACTATAGTTGTCTAGCCCAACATAGCACAGAATGATTATTGAGAAGAAAAATGAGAGGCATGTCCATGCAACTAAAGTATACCCTTTTACATAATATAAAAGCTATATCTAACAAAATATGAATTATCATTGTTTATTTCTAGGAGAGTAACGAGTGGAGACAGAGGCAAAATATACCCTTTTATATACCACTGGAATTTTAAGTTATGTGAATTAAGTATATTCAAAAATGAATACAGTTTTTAAAGATCTTAAAGGCTAAATCAAACAAAACATCTGGAAAGAAACAAACATCTAAAAGGATGAAAACATCTAAAAGAGTTAAAATTAGACTTTTCATAGCGTACTTACTCATCTATCTGAAGGTCCATAGCAGTACTAATCCAAGCTTTAGGAATATAACCTGAGAGGGAAGAATACAACATTATGAACATAAAAAATTAATAAAGCAAACCTTAATCATGCTTTGGAATATGAGATTGATGAGACAGCCAAGTAGACACCAAGACCTCAGTCAAAATGCTAGACTGATTAGGAATGGGCAAGTAAAGAGAATAATTTCTAAATACAAGAGGTCCTTGCTTTGTAGTTCTGGTAAGTAGATATTTCAGTTATCATGGTTTGGTTACTAAACCAATCCCCAACAACACAATTGAAATTTTAGTTACCACAGCACAGTAACTGTGAGCAACTGAATACAGTATTCTAGATTTTTAGTACACAAATCAGTATGTAGATAATAGATGCACACCATGATCTGTGACCAATCACATATCTTTTTTCAAAGTCCATTGGTGATTGAAGGATTACAAGAAAATACTATGAACAATTATATGCCAACAAATTAGACAACCTGGAAGAAATGGATAAATTCCTAGAAATATACACTCTTCCAAGACTGAATCGAGAAGAAACAGAAAATCTGAGCAGATGGATAACTACTCACAAATCAAATCAGGAATCAAAAAACTCCCAACAAACAAAAGTCTTAGACCAGATGTCTTCACAGCTGAATTTTACCACACATTCAAAAAAGAATTAATACCTATCCTTTGCAAACTATTCCAAAAAAATGAAGAGGAGGGAAGGCTCCTAAACTCATTTTACGAGGCCAGCATTACCCTGATACCAAAACCAGACAAAAACACTACAAAAAAAGAAAATTATAAGCCAACATCCCTAATGAACACAAATGCAAAAATTCTCAACAAAATATCAGCAAATTAAATTCAGCAATACATTAAAAAGATCATACACATGATCTAGTGGGATTTATTCCTGGCATACAAAGTTGGTTCAATATCAGCAAATCAATTAGCATGATATAGTACATAAACAAAATGAAAGGTAAAATGATATGATCTTATCAATAGATGCAGAAAAGGCATTTGACAAAATCCAAATCCGTTTATAATAAAAACTCTCAGCAAAGTGGGAATAGAGAGAACGTATCTCAACGTAATAAAGGCCATATATGACAAACCCACAGCTAACATACTCAACGGTGAAAAGCTAAAAAACTTTTTTTTAAGATCAGGAATAAGACAAGGATGTCTACTTTCACCACTTTTATTCAACATAGTATTGGAAGCCCTAGCCACAAAAAGTCAAACAAAGAAATCAAAAACATCCAAATGGAAAGGAAAAAGTAAAACTGTCACTATTGTAGATGATAAGATACTATATAGAGAGAACCCTAAAGATTCCACCAAAACACTGTTAGAACTAATAAATAAATTCAGTAAAGTAGCAGGATACAAAATTAATATTCAAAAATCGGTTGCATTTTTATACACAAATAACGAACTATCAGAAAGAGAAATGGAGAATACAATCCCATTTATAATTGAATCAAAAAGAATAAAATACCTAGGAATAAACTTAACTAAGCTGGTAAAAGACCTGTACTCAGAAAACTATAAGACATCGAAGAAAGAAAATAAAGATACAAATAAATGGAAGTACATACCGTGCTCATGGATAAGGAAGAATTAACATGTTAAAATGTCCATACAACCCAAAGCAATGTACAGATTAATGCTACTTTATTCAAAATTCCAACGGCATTTTTTACAGAGCTAGAACAAATAATTCTAAAATTTATATGGAACCACAAAAAACCCCAAATAGGCAATCTTAGGAAAGAAGAACAAAGTTAGAGGTATCACAATACCTAATATCAAACTATACTACAAGGACAAATAGTAAAACAGCATGATACTGGCATAAAAACAGACACACAGGTCAATGGAACAGAACAGAACCCAGAAATAAACCCACGCCTATGTGGCCAATTAATCTATGACAAAGGAGACAAAAATATTCAGTGGGGTGAAGACAGTCTCTTCAATAAATGGTATGGGGAAAACTGGGCAGATACATGCAAAAAAAAATGAAACTAGACCACTTTCTCACACCATTTACAAAAATAAACTCAAAATGAATTAAAGAGTCACAGGGATATAAAATATAAAGTACAGTATAGGGAATAGTCAATATTATAGTAACTATGCATGGAAACAAGTGTTTACTGGACTTATGGGGGGAGAATCACTTTGTAATTTACATAACTGTCTAACCACTATGCTATACACCTGAAACTAATATAATATTGAATGTCAACTGTAACTGAAAAATTAAAATGCCTAAGAGCCAAAAATAAATAAATGTTTTTCGAATTTTTTCAAATTAAAATTGAAAGGAAAAAATGGATTAAAGACTTAAATGTCAGACATGAACCATAAAACTCCTAGGAGAAAACATAAGTAGTAGATTTTACACTGCTCTTAGCAATATTTTTTAGAACCATCTCCTTGGGCAAGGGAGACAAAAGAAAAAATAAACAAATGGGACCACGTCAAACTAGAAAGTTTTTGCACAGCAAAAGAAACCATCAATCAACAAGACAACCTACTGAATGGGAGAAGATATTTGCCAATGATACATCTGATAAGGGGTTAACATCCAAAATATATAAGGAACTCATAACACCAAAAAAACAAAAAATCTAATTAAAAAATAGGCAGAGTTCCTGAACAGACATTTCTCCAAAGAGGACATAGGGATGGCCAACAGGCATATGAAAAGGTGTTCAACATCACAATCATCAGAGAAATACAAATTAAAACCATAATGAGATATTATCTCACACCTGTCAAATGGCTATCATCAATAAATCAACAAATAAGTGTTGGTGAGGATGTGAAGAAAAGAGAACCCTTGTGCACTGTAAACTGGTGCAGCTATATGGAAAACGGTATAGAGGTTCCTTAAAAAATTATGACTAGAACTACCATAGGACTCAGCAATTCTACGTCTGGGTATTTATCTGAAGAAATCCAAAACATTAATTCAAAAAGACATGCACACTCCTATACTCATTGTAGCATTATTTACAATTGCCAATATATGGAAGAAACCTAAGTGTCTATCAATAGACAAATAAAGACAAATATATATATAATGGAACATTACTCAGCCATAAAAAGAATGAATGAAATCTTGCCATTTGTGACAACATGGATGGACCTAGAGGGTATTATGCTAAGTGGAGAAAGACAAATACCATGATTTCACTTATATATGGACTCTAAAAAATAAACAAACAAACAAAACAAATTCATAGATACAGAGAACAAACTGATGGTTGCCAGATGGGATGGGGGTTAGCAGGATGGGTGAAAAAAGTGAAAGGGATTAAGAAGTACAAATTGCCAGTTATAAAAACAGTCACAGGGATGTAAAGTACAGCATAGGAAATATAGTCAATAACACTGTAATAACTATGGATGACATCAGGTAGGTAATAGACTTATATAGGTGACCACTTCGTAAGGTATATAAATGTCTAATCACTATGTTGTACACTTAAGACTAATATAATACTGTATATCAACTGTAATTGGAAAATAAATTAATATGAAAAAGAAAAAAAGTCTCTTGGTGATTGGTCACTCACATCAGTTATTCAGTTCAGCACAGACAACAAAGCATGTAGTTGTGTTGCTTCCTTGCCTGCCATGATAAACCCACATGACATTTTATAAAAATGAATAACTTAAAAGAGGAAACTAGCCAAAAAAGACCAAAGTGCTACAAAGAAAAGTGACAGCACATAAAATAAAATTTGAATGGAACATAAACGGAGTCATTGAAGAAACAGCTGCCCATGGAAATGTTGACATGGCTGCTATGTCAGCCCAATGTACGACTACAGGCACACCTCTGAGATATTATAGTTTGGTTCCAGAGTAACACAATAGAGTACTGCAACAGAGTGGTAATCATTTTGCTGGTGGAAGGTCTTGCCTTTAATTTGCAAAAAACGCAACATCTGTGAAGTGCAATGAAGCATGGTAAAATGAGGCATGCCTACATGGGGGAACAGCCAGGCTAATTGTAGTAGGTTAATACAACAAAACGTTAACATTAGAATGACAATTTTAAAAAATTGCTATTTTAAAAAATATGGATAATATAAACTACAACTGAAAAAAGTAGACAACAAAATGGCTTATACACAGTGAGAACAATTTTGTAAAATTACATTCATAGGAAAAATTTGGATCAGAAAAAGTTATAGTCTGAAAACAATATGTTAGAGTTTTGGATTTTATTTATATTATTATGTGTTGCTACTGAAATTAATGTTTTCTATCCAACTTGTACTGTGCATTATATTTAAAAAGCTGTATTTTTGTACTTATATTCATGTTAATAAATTCTGCAAGGTTCCCTTAGCAATAGGTTATTTTTATTGTATTAGTACTAAGTTATAAACTTATAAAAAGGAGTATGCTATTTCCAGAGTAATGATCAAATGCCATACAATATTTTCCTTTTTTTAAAGAATACATTTTATTGTTGTTATAAAACACATAAAATTTATCATCTTAACCATTAAGTGGGCAAAAAACACATAAAATTTATTATTTTAACCATTAAGTGGGATATGTGCCTTGTGCAACAGATCTCCAGAGCTTTTTCCTCTTGCAAAATTGAAACTCTGTACCCATTGAACAACTCCCCTTTTCTCCCTCCTAGCAGTCCCTGACAATCAGCATTCTACTTTCAGTTTCTAAGAGTCTGACTATTCTAGGTACCATCATACAGTATTTGTCTTTTTGTGACTAGCTTACTTCACTTAGGATAATGTCCTCAAAGTTCATCCATGTTGTAGTACATGATGGGATTTCCTTCTTTTTTTAAGATTGAATAATATTCCATTATATGTATATACTACACTTTCTTTAACAAGATTTTCCCTTAATGAAATACTTTTGACAATCTAAATGATAAATCAGTTAGGCTAATCACACACCTACAAGTATAGGAAACATACAAAAACAACGATGACTTTGCAACTGACATTTTCTGAGCTATCACCTAACAAATACACTATCAAAAAGCAGAAATTCTTACCAAGAAAATAATACACGATGCAGAAATTTCTAATCAGGAACAGTGATTCCATACAACTGTGTTTAACCAATAAGGGCAGGGATCTCCTAAAGCGCAAGAACTTATATTGCTGTGGGAAAAGAAAAACAGAATCAAGTAACATTCCCAAACAGGGGTCCTACTTCATTCTAAAGCAAGCATATAACTGTAACGGTCCACATATGAAACATAATCATTGCATAAAAAGACAAAGTTTATTCTAGAAGCAAAACATGAACTATTTCTGATTTTAAATGTTTAATATATTATCTCACTGATATGAGATCAGAAATGAAAAGATTAACAATATCAATCTATACTTATAGCAAAGACTATGGAGGTGAAGTACAAAAATCACAGTAACAATAGCAGCTAACATTCTTTGGGTGCTTACTGTGGACCAGGTACTGTTCTAAGTAAGCACTTTACATACATTAATCCATTTAAACCTCATAAGAACCCTATGAAGGAGATTCTATTATTATCCCCAACCTACACATGAGAAAAACAAGGAGGCACAGAGAGATTAAGTAACTTAACCAATGTTTCCAACTAGCAAAAGGAAAATCTGAGATTTTAATCCGGATAGGCTGTCTTCAGAGTTTGCAATCTTAATGGTAATATATATTGCCTCTACATTAAATTTTTTTAAATGCTATTTGCAGAAAAATAGGAGGCAGTGAAGATGACACTAGGCTAGTGCTCAAGAGACCTGAGTTCTAGTGCTTTTCTTTCTGTACAACACTGAGCAAGTCATATCTCCTATCTAGTATCTGTGAGATAAGGCTGAACCAACTAAATAGTTTCTTAATGGGAACTTCCCAGTTCTATCAATCTAAGGCAAAAGAAACAAGAAAAAATATAAAACTTTTTTCTGAAAAAAAAAACTACGCTTTTGCGAAACAAAAAAAAAAATGCCAACGGAAAAAAATTTTTTTTAATTATTAGAAATCTAAGAAAACCTAATGAACAAAAGATGAACTTTCCAAATTCTTTAATTCTTTTGTAATTGTATTACTACATTTATGTATATGTAAGAATATATGTATTCTTTTGTGCTTGTTATAATTTAGGACATCCTTCTTTATGAAATTTCAGAAGTTAAAGAACAGCAAAAAACTATAGTACTTAGGTAGAAGTTACATCTTCATACCATGTATGCAGATTCCTACAGTATCTCGCAAAATGCAGCCTATATGAATACTCAGTCGCTAACTGTACAACTTCAAATATACTGGCTTATTCAAATATTTTCAAAGTACAAGATGTGGAACTGCATTATTTTATGCAGTCCCTGGATGTTAACACCTTTTCCCTTCAATCCACCCCAATAAAAAGGGCAAAGTCTCTGTACTATTCCCACTGCAGCTCTCGCTTTAACCATTGCTCACAAGTGTACAGACATTTCAGCAGATATGCAGAGAATAGCTATATGCACTCATCTTGCTCTGAAATTCAAGTGTTTTTCAATTCCCTATTGGGTTTCTTCTGTGGTTTGGCTCTGAGCTACCCTTTACTGAATGTTTACCATGTGCCAGGATCTATCAACCTTATTTAATACTTTCAAAGTCTTGTTGGCCTAGAGCACCTGTCTTGGTGCACATCCATTTCTTCATCCCCTATTTCACGCTAACATCCTGATTTTCCCTGTCATTAAGAATTTGATAAGGGCAATGGAGCTGGTTTTAGTTGTGTAGCAAGTTTTAAAAAAAAAAATCTAATATATCTTTTAAAAGATCTAATTTTTCATATTTTTACATGAAAAAGCAGTTACTGAATATGTACAGTGTAAAACAATTTATGAAAAACCCACCCCACAAAATATATGGTGTCACAGATACATACATATGTAAATGTACAGTGGAGGGTTTGGAATATATACTAAACCAGTCACTATCTCTAAGGCAAAGATGGAGACTGACCAGAGTAGCCAAAGGGAACTTTTACTTTCCCTATAGTATTTGAATATTTTATAGTAAAAAATTATACTATTATACTCTTGGGAAGATGGCTGACAGGCAGCACCAAAAAATAAGGTTGATGATAATAAAATGATAATAATAATACTTGCTATTGCTGTAAAAAAAATTTTTAAGATCTAACAATCTCTGGTCGGCATGGCTGTTAAAAAAAATAATAAAAGGCTAAACCATCACATCAATTTATACAGGTTCAGAAGGAATGGGCCTGATTTCTCACATCAAACTTGTAATTTCCTGACCATCAATCCTGCTTCCCTTAGCAACTTAAAGCACACAAAAGAAGACTATACACTGTGCACCATGCTCTTAGGACTAAAGAAAGCAAGCTAAGGTATAGTGTCTTTCTTCCCCCTCAGGCTTCTGGGAAAGTGAGTGTACCCAGCAAGGCAAACACAGACAGTTATGAACCTGATGGATGAGAAACTATGGTCCAAAGCACAAAAAGCCATCATTTCAACTATTCTTGCCAAAATCCTTACCTCCATACTCCACTGCACCCATCCAGCAAAATTCCTGCACCAACAACCCCAGTCTGGATAACAACACCCAACTGTGTAGACCAAACACCACTGTACACTCATGGTTACAAGAGATGCCCCCAAAATATGTTTTGGCCGAATACCAAATAGCCAAATGTTAAAATTCAACATTCTGCCAAAGTTGAACCTGAAGCCAAAGCTGAATAGTACCATAATACAATAAACTTCTAGGGTATAAAAACAAATCTAAAATTTTAACAAAAGAAATCACAAAAAATTTGAGGAGTCAAATTTTACAAATTTGACAATATATGGTAGAAAACAATAATTTATTAGCACTGTCAATTATTAGACTGCTCCTATGTTCACATTATTGTACATCTGTGATGTTAAATAAATGGTCACTTTCAACTGAGGTCCACAGAGGAGCAACAGATTTGGGGGTATCTTATTTTTCTTGAATATTTTCTTTTCTTAATTCTCTACATTCTTAATTATATTTGGACCAAACATGATTTCCCATACAAAATTTTGGAGTTTTTCTCCTTGTGAAACTTTGAGGTGGCAAAGCTACCACTCTACTTTTAATTCATCTTCACAAGATACAAAGAATTTCTAAAACAGACTTTTTCTTCATACTCTTACAGACTGCAGGGAGATAAGGGCCAGACCCTTTTCTGTGAGCACTACCTCCTTGTTATATGTGTATTTTCATCAGACTGTTCTCATGAATGCAACAAGCGTGTTAAATGTTTAGTTACACCAAGAGAACTCTAAACTACCACACTCTCAAACTTTACACCCTCATGACACGATTTGTTTATACATCCCTCTCTCTCCACTAGACTGGGTTCTAGTGGGAAGGGGCTGGTTCTAATATTTTTGCTCCAAAGCCCAGTCCTCAGCCTGCACAGTGGGAATGAAGCAAATAATAGCACAGTCAGGAAGTAGTGGGAACAGCCTGGGGAGAGCCTTGATCCTGCAGTAAGAATCTCAAATGATTTTTTTCTCTCTTGCCAGAGAAGGTGGTTCTGAGTTCCAGAGACAGCTCCTACCTGGTTAGCAGATTTTTAAAAATCTACTAAAAGATAGTTTAAACTGTTCCAATCAAGCCAGTTGAAATTTTTATTTATACATATCAAACCTTGTTCTAAAAAGGATTTGAGACGGTTACTGATATATTCTATACTTACTTGCATATCCTCAAGTTCATGAAGTTCTTAGGTTCAAAAAGAAGGTGGCAGTTGCACAGAGGTACTTTGCATGAATGTCATCCTCATTCTCCCCCAGCCCTGCTAGGTCACAGCAACTGCCACTACCTAGCAGGGAGGGAAAGAATGGAGCAAAGCAGTATTCTGAGAGGGAGCAGGAAAGGCAGCTACAGCTCTCAAACATATATGCTCAAGTCTCATGAAATAACTCTCTCCTCTCCAAATGGCATTTTGAGAAACTCAGTCCTACAATCTATTTTTAATTAGGTGAGGCCAGTTATACGTACAAACGCCAAGGCAATTTTAACTTTGCCAAATTCTAACATAAGGTAATTCTCAAATGACAGCTTACCTGTATGATGGGAAATGGAAGATAGTTCATGTTGTTAATAAAATACCGGAGGCTATAGCAATAGCCCATAAATGCTCCAGCCAGTAGGAAAAAAAGGTGATACTCATTTAAGCAGGTTTGTCCAACAGGGCTATCGAAGCTGAAGGGAAAAAGTCAGGTTATTAATTCAACAGTCAGGGACGCATCACTGTTTTAGGCTCCATATTTACTAAAGGCAAAGCTTTGACTTAATCACTAAAGAAATGCCCAAAATTCTAACGAAATGGTTTGTTTTAGGTTAAGTGTGGGCAAAAGATTACCGAAACTCTTTTCCCTGACATACGAGACTCTGCCCCTTATTTAACTCTCTAGCTCTGTTCTCTGGAAAGCTGGTAAGAGTAAGAATGTCCCCTGTGGTAGTAAGTAACTGCTTACAAGCTGGCAAACTGCACTTGGAACTATAAACAAACTACATATACCTGATAGAGGTGCCTACAACTTTGGGCTTCTCTCTGTGTTGTCTCTGATAACTGGGCAATCCCACATGGGGACCGTTTTCACTGAATAAAATGTGTCACCATTAGGGAAAAAAAATTGCCTTATATGATAATAGCTAGGGTACAAAAGAAAATCAAGTATTCAGTAGTATTCATGAACACTGTTTTAAAGTCAGTGGAGAACAGGAACTTAAGATTACTTAAGTAATCATTTCTGATTTTTAAAGTCACAATCAACTTGCAATTTTTATCGATGTCATGTGTACAAGAACTCCATTAGTTTCAAAATTATGACAGTACTCTACTGAAAAGGGTAGTGATAATTATTTAAATTATCTTTCTTCATTCTTCCCATACTGTCTTCCTTCAAACTCCAATCTAAATGCCACCTCCTTGGCTCCTCAGGAGAATGGAAAGAAAGACCTATATGTTTCTGCTTTCTCCAAACCCAAGAAAAAGAAATCTTTTTCCAAGGAGGAGCTGGTTAGTAGTGTTCTTGAAGAAACAGCTGGCAGTGGAAGCCTTCCCAAGGGGAAGAAATCTTTCCCCAAGGAGGAAACAGTTAGTGATCCTGAAGAGGAAGGAAACAGAAGTGTTCCCAAGAAAAAGAATTTCTCCTCCAAGGAGAAGCTAGTCGACAGTGGACCTAAAGAAGTTGCTGGCAAGCAAAGCAGCAGTGCCAAGAAAAAGTTCCAAAAAAACTAAACCAGGAAGATTAGAATATGGGGTATTTCCCATCCCAACCCATCTCTTATACTCCAATAAAAACAAATCCGTAAGAAAAAAAAATGCTACTTCCTCCAAGGAACTACGTGTGAATCCTCCCTGCTTTCTGAACTCCCAAAGGTTTTATCTGCACAGCTCACTTTTTTCCTATTACAATCTATTTCTCATACATTCCTATTTCTCTATTACATCTATTTGTATCCATGGTTTATTTCCCCTGTTGTTCTCAACTCTTAAGGAGCTTATAGCCTACGTGTGAATCACTCTTACAAATCCAACAGCATCTAGTATAGCACCATGTATAGAATGTTTTTTTTTTAATTGTTGAATTCAACAAACATAAAATATAAAAAACACATGATGTATGTAAAAAAAGAAAGCACCTTCTGTAGAAGTCTAGAAAGCAAACGATGTCCATAAACTATTAAACTAACAAGTCATCTTTGGCTTAGTAACTAAACAAGATTCCTTAGAAGAAAAATGTATTTAATATTACCTCTTAGTATCGGTGCAGGGAACCACAAGAAAACTGTATCGGCCCTTGGTTATCACTGCAGCACACCAAGCCACCATCATTCCCATTGCAGCATGAATAAAAGAGTGCATGAGCTGCTGAGGATGAATGATCTTCCCTATCAGTGCCAGTCTGGAGCAGGGAATAGAAGGCACAACTGCAAACAAAACACATTAATGTGGCTTTATAATCTGCAGCATATGAATTTGGAGGACCTACACCATTCCCTCTCATCCTTGCACAAATACTCCAAAAGGCAGGAAGAAACCGAGAGTCAATGTAAAACACAGTGCAGAAAAATTCCTAGTAAAAATTTTAAGTTAAAATAATTTGAAAAAAATTAAATACAAAGAGATGCATGTAAAAAAAGAAAAACTGAAAAATCTAGAGATGAAACCTAGTATAGCACCATGTATAGAATGTTTTTTTTTAATTGTTGAATTCAACAAACATAAAATATCAAAAATATTTGATGTATGTAAAAAAAAAGCACCTTCTGTAGAAGTCTAAGAACTTAAACTATACAAGTCATCTTGTATAGTAAGAGTAACATTTTTCATTTCATTTTAAAATTTCCTGATAGCTCCAATAGGGCCTACCATGGCACTATCCTAAGTGCCATAAAAAAATTAATAATATTTTTAAGAAGATAGTGCTTGCCATCCAGCAAGTTATCTTTATTTCAGCATTTCAAAATTGGTACTATACAGTCCATCTGTGAAAAATAACCACAAACTAGGTAAATATTGACAACACTGAATACAAAAATAAATGCTCGTATGGGAATTTCTAATATCTCTATGGTAATCCAAAGAAGTTTTCTGGAAGTGAGCTGGGGAGGTGAGTATGGGTGAGGTGAGGAATGCTGACCTTTGAAACAACTAGCACAGGGTTCCCTAACCTACCTGTGTAGGCATTTTTCTTTTAATATATTCAAAATGAAGAGACTGGGGAGGTAGAAAATTAAGTGTCAAGGGAGAGGACTTAGGTGCTTCACACTTTGGGGAAGAGGCTGCTATCACCTTTCCCTCTCCACCAGAAATGCCAGAAGGGGCAGTGTGAGAGCACACGCAGTAAGCCAAGGAGTTCTGAACATGGTTTGAAGGTTTGAACAGAAAAAGATCCATCAGCCAGTAGTGAGGGATTAGGAAAGCAAAGGGAAAGAATATATGTATTATAACATCTGGAAGATTTGAAATTTTTTACCATATCTAATAAGAAACTACTGAAGAGCTAAAAGGAGGAATGATATTATAGGCAAAACAAGTACTGTCAGAAAATGCTTCTTATTGTATGTATCTTAAGGACAGACTCAAGGAATCTGAAAAGCAAGAAGAATGAGGAAAGAAACTGAGGAGGGTAAAAAAGCTCTGGAATCTAGCAGGTGATTCTCCCAGGGCAAAACAAATATTTTTAAGTTTTTGAGAAAATCTTAGAATTACAGACTTTTATGTTTGAGAAAGACCTAAGAAATCACCTGGTCCTAATCTCCTACCCCATAAAGGCATTATTTTCATAATACAGCTGCTGAATCACAACTTTAACACAAGCTGTGAACCATTAAAAGATCTAAATTTTTTTGTGTGTAAAATATACATTAACAAAGTTTATTCATTTTAATCATTTTGAAGTGTACAGTTCTGCGGCATAAGTACATTCACAATGTTGTACAACCATCACCACCACCCATCTTCAGACTTTCCCATCTTCCCCAGCTGAAACTTCACACCCATTAAATAATTCCTCATTCCCTCCTGCCCAGAGCCCCTGGCAACTGTCATTCTACTTTGTCTCTATGAGTTTGACTATTCTAGATACCTCATAAGTGGAATCATATATTTGTCCTAAAAGGTCTAAATATTTTTTAAAACAGAGAAACTAGCACTCAAATTTTAAGACATTCAAAGCATATAATTCTGTATACATCTGTAAAACTTAAAACTTTGACACAAAACACAGCCTCTGTTACACACACTCATACACAAAATGCATTATTATTGACTTAATAAATTCAGATATTTTAAGATGATTAACTTTTGAAAACTCACCTGCATAGAACTCCGCATTGAAAACACTTATTATTACTATTACCACTGACAGCAGCAGGAGGTAAAAGATTACACTGGAACTACATAGATCATTGAAAGAATCTAAAACACAAGAGAGAAGAATTAGTAAAGTTCATTCAGTCGGGTAATCATATTCAGTATACTGCCATAGACAAAGGGTTTGAACTACTACTCTAATTTTAATTTTAAAAGTTTCTTTTCCTTAAGAATTTATTCAGATATTGCTGACATGTCTTATAGGACATCCACTTAAGAACTACAATGTGAGTTATTCGGACCAAGCTCTGGTCCCTTAAATTATACTAGAATTTCTTTTAGATAATCCAGATGTTAACATCAGACAAAATACTACCATGTGAAAACATATCTCATTATGTGAAATAGAGAAGTACATATTTGGTAATGTACCAACGAAGTTTCTTTTTAAAATGTAAATAATATTTTTCAGATTTTCTCTTAATAAATCCAATTAGCTCCTATAGCTAAAAAAAGTAACATTTCTGTAAATAGCATAATCCATAAATCATCTAAATTAGCTGAATGAAAAAACAAAAAAATCATGATATCTCTGTGAAATACTAATTCATTCACATTTTAGAGTCGTTCCACAATCAATATTCCATTTCAAAACTATGGCAAAAGTTTAAAATATGTATGTATTATGCCTAAAATCATGAACAAGAAAAAAACAAGGACATGTCTGCTGAACAGACGAACACTTAATAATGAAACCTATTATTTTTAAAAGTATAATTCATTAACTAAAATTAATAAAATTTATTAAGCATCCACAATTAAACCTAAACATTGTACTGAGCTAAAACAAAGAACTGATCCATGT